TTGAATATCCTTCTTATTTATATCTTGTTTATAACTTATTTATATTTTTCTTGATGTTTTTAAATTTTATATCAAAGATGTGAAGTATTGATATTATATAGAGTATTACTTTGAAGTATTGATATTATATAGAGTATTACTTTGAAAGATATTCAAACAGAACACAAGTCATTATAATAACAAAATGATGTCAAAATGACTCTAAATAAATATTATTTACGATTCATTTTAACGTCATTTTGATTTGTTGGTTTTCTGCTTGGGTAAAATATAATATTTTATTGTCTGAAGTGTTGTTCTTATTGCTGCAGTCCAAGAACTTTATTGTCAGACTATGTATGTACATTAATTTATTTGCAATGTAGATGCCAGCTAATTTTTGGGGTCTAGAAATGAATGATTCGAAAGACGAAGTGCAATTCGTAGGTGAAGACGTATAAACACGCGCGGCATGCGCGGCGATAATTTAAGAGAATCGCAGGTGCAGACCAATACGGAAACAGTTGGAAAGGGTGCCAGAGCTTGCGGTGCCCCATAATGCGTATGGAATTCTGTGCGAATGGCGTAAAGTGCGGACTGTGTGTGCCACGTGTCCGAGCTACGTATTCCCGCACTCTCAGGCGTCTATTTTCGAGTGCGTCGAGGGCAGCGTTCGTTCCAATGCTCTGAGAACATTTCGATCCGCATAAGTTGGCAGTCGCTCCAGACCGAGCGAGTGCCGAGTCCAGACCTCGAAAACGTGCGGGATTATATTGCGGATAAGTTAAATATAATGATGTAGAAGAATTATGAGTCTCCCGAAAAATATCTTCCGGATTTCCGATTATAAGTATTTGTAACTTCTAGTCGAATTAATGTTGTATAATTGTATCATTTAATTATTGTGTATCATTTAATTATTCGATAATTATTTCTAAGTCTAATTTCAAAAAGTCTTAACATTTAGAGAAGCTATTTTTTTTAATTTTACAATTTTTCTTTAAATAAGATTTGTTTTAATTATGTTTTGATTGTATTTCTTGTCTCTCAAAATATGACACTGTTTCGGTGCCACTATGGTTGGTGCCATAATGGTTTTCTTGTTCTAATAAAGATTAATTTAGTAACTGTTCTTGTTATAATGTAATTATACCCTTTAACACACTAGAAAACTTTGTATTACGTAAAGTTATGATCTAAATGTATTTCGTTGCATCTATGGAATCAAAAGACCGACAGCCGCCTCCCCTCTTTGAATTCGTCGTAACCGTCTTGCACTGCTCTGGAAGTAATTATAACGGCCAGGTTATTTCTTGCGAGGTCGACATCATTGGGAGGCCCCGAGAGGCGCAATGAGAAAGCCACGAAACGATGCGTGTACGCGGATGTACTTAGCTATTTCCGCGGTGCAGAACTAGGTCAAAGGAGACACATACAGATCCGCAAGCTCGAGCTTTATCCGGGCTCGTGCGAGCTTTGCGTTTCGCACTCCGATCTAGCCAACGAATTTACGCGAGGACAAGCCGCAATTATGATCGTCTCTGTCGGACCTTGAACAAATATCGCGAGCCTGAGTTTAAGCCTGTCTCGAGGTTGCTTCGTTGGATCATGCCGGAGATGTAAATAGAATTAGTTTTCATCTAATTCTGAATTCTTTCTAGATCCGAAAATTTGGAACCAGCTATAATCTTTCGCTAAAATAAGGAATCTTTAGAATTCTCTTCTTCCAAGGAATATTTGCTGAGAGACGGCTTGCATTGTTAAAATTAAACTTATCTCTACTGATAGACATTTATCGTATGATTATTTATTATTATATCGCGTAAAATGATTAATTATTAAATAATTTTTTTATTTTATATCGACAAATAAAGGCGCTAAAATTATATATACACATATATCTGCCAATATGCATAACTTATTAAATATTATTTTATGCGGCTATCGCATTCTGTTTGTCATTAAAACAAGCGGTCGTTAATCTCCAACTTTTGCTCGCAGGTCGCCAATTGGATGGAATATGGCACACGGCGATAGTCGCATACGGAAGAGAGTACTTCTTCGGCCCCGCTGGCATCCAGAGTATCCGACCCGTGAGTATCCTCCGCCATTGGCGGATCTGATTATCTCGATTGGGATGCGATCGAGCGTTTAGTAGCGCTGTCTGCATCACGGCGACGCTGGCGAAACGCTAAAATACAACGCGGGGTTTTCGTTCAGTTACGCAGGTGGTTCCCGTCGCGCCGTACTCGATACTCCACCCGAGTGCTTTCTTTCATCTTCGTGAGTATCTCCGCGATTTAGAAACATCAATTGCGACTCTCAGCTAATATCAACAACCTATTATATTAGTAAGCACCGCGTTCTCTGCCGCCGAGCTTTCTGTTAGCTAAATAAATATCAGATCCATTCTCCTAATACCGCTATGCGTCAATATTTCTCTCTTTTCATTTACATGTTGCCGCAACAATATTAACAATCTCAGTCATCATGTAACTTTTTCTTCGGGGCAGAAATGTGAAAATTTTTTGTATGTACGTGTACGCACGTAAAAACATTTTTCACGTTTCCACACGTAAAGAAAAAATTATATGATCGATCTAAAAACATAGAGCATGGATTGTTTCATTCAAATGTAAAATTAATCGACAAAAAAGAGAAAGATAGGACACAAGACAGCTAGTCTCTCTATTTCCTTCTATTCAACCAATTACAATATCTCAGAAAGAAAAGAGTATTGGCCGTCACACTTTCTCTCTCTCTCCCTCTCTCTCTCCCTCTCTTTCTTTCTCTTATTTTGTTGATATATTACTTAGAGTGTGGTCACTTGATGCTTCGAAGCATTTTTTGATTGGTCAATTAATAAAATTCTTTCTTCTGATGATCAATCAAAAGTAATCTTAGATACAGATATAGTCCACAACTCTATGTCTTTGCTCTAGTCAGGCACCAGTCGATCATCGCGCAACGATGTCGCTGGGACAAGTGCAATATAAATAACCCGGGGCCGTGTTATCAAGCTGAAAGAATTAATGATTCCTACCGCTTCCCGTCGCACTTAATATATCTATACCGATGCATGCGTATAACCCGAAGTCGCGACCGATCATCAAAAGACTTAGTCGCAGAGCGACTATCGCTCTGCGACGAAGTCACTCGGCGGGCCATACGATACGCTAGATACAAGCGGGAACTAAATTTGGTGTGGTTCAATCCGAAAATAATCCCCGCTGCACGCATACGCACGCACGCGTATACACGTGCACGCATACATCCGCTTCCTCTCTCTTTCTCTCTCGCGACTACTCTCTTTCCTGCCTTATGCTCCACACGTTCAGACTCGATGTAAGGCAAAGGTAAGATGAGTCCGTACGTGCTTACATTCTCGTATATGATAAAATATTCCCCAATAATTTCAATGTAGTTGTTTCCTAATCTCGCCGCAGTCATGTAAATGGTCCACCCTTTGGCGCACGTTCAGATTCCCACCCCGAGTGCTGCCCAGGTATATCATTTTCTTGTTTAATATTCGGGGAATAACAAAAATAAAATGATACCTAGATGAGAATCTGAACATAGTCTTGCTTGATTAAATAGTGAAATTACCTTAAAATAATTCTTCCCTGCATTACTTGAGCTCAGACGAAGCATTTTTATGGTCTTTTCATGTTTGAAGGTACAGAACGAGACCGACGATAAAAATCACTCGAGATTAAAATATAACAGAGAAAGATTCTGTTTGAGTAACTTGAGTGAACTTTTCTTGATAGTTGAAGAGTTGATTCTTGAAGAAGAGTACCAAGTTTATAAGTCTCGAGATATGATTTAAACCTTCTCTCTTGCGTGTCTCTTAAATTGCTCGTCTTTTCGTAATATTGAATGTGCGAATAGCTTCCAAGTTTTCTGATACAAGAATTTCCTTGTTTTTTAACAGAATACGAAGCTATATTTAGTATCCTGTGCAATTTCTTTTAGCATCTGAAAGAATTCTACAATCCTGTTATTTCTGAAATCGTATTATAATTATATCATAAAATTATAATATCTTCTTCTGATTCCGTTATGATTCTTCTGAAGCGGTGTCAAGCAGTCGCGGAAGTAATAATCGTGACACCGACGCGCATCTAAAAGCAATGCGATGAAATCATTACGATAATACTTTATTATGCTGCACGCCGACGATATGCACGTGACGTGCATAATTGTAATGCGCGTTGCTCTATGACACTAGATCTGTATAACTGATTCATTTCCACCTACGAAATCCTCTCGTAAAACTCGATAACCAATAACTAGATGCTCCGATTTTATTAATAATATTTCTATTCAAGATTTTTATGAATATCTATTTTTCCAACAATTCTATAATTAATTTAAATTCGATCATCAATTAACATAGAGATAATTAATAATTGTTTACGAGTCAATTACAAATCAATTACTAGCAATTTCCTAAATTTATTTCCTCAATTTGCCTATCTAATTACAGTACAAACTATAAACATGGTTATCTCTCTTCATATTTGTATCTTCTATTCCTTTTTGCATATTAATTTTGCTTGCCAGGAATCACGATTTATATAACGAATAGTTATCTTTCTGTCATCAAGATAGCTTCTCGTTTCGTCATCCGTAATGCATATTGGTAATCGCTTGCAATTGGCCTTTGAGACATAGGGTGCGATTTACTTAATAAGTACTGAGCAAATGCTTCATTGATCAATCAAAAGAACGAATTTTACGAATTGACCAATCAAAGAATACTTCAAAGCATTTGTAGGATGAAATAGAACCCAAAAATACACCAAGAGAAAGTCAAAAGAAATCAAAGTGATTTTATTTTAACATTAAGAAAGTCAAAATGATGATTTTTAGTCACAAAATTTGACTGTTTTATTGACACATAAATAAAGTCATTTTGATTTTTTGTTGACTTTTGTATTCCTTGGGAATGCTCTTTTTCTGGGCTTCATCAATCGATTATGTTTGTTGACATCTACATTACTTCATCTACATTATTCTAGAATTAGAAAGAGATGAGAAACAAATTGAATCTCGCTGAGTTAATCGTGAGTTGTGAAACTGGAACTAACTCCTTGTCCGACAAATATTGTTTAGAAAAACCTCTGAATTGTTTCTTCCTAAGCGAGTATCTCTTTTTTCTGAACGGTATCTTCAGCCAGCAATTTCAGGAGCGCAAATCTCATTTTGCGCGCGCGCCACGCATTCATTCTTCAACGTTGGCATCTCGTTCGTCGTGGCGTTCTCCAAGCATCGGCAGTTCGCGTGCGAACCGTTTCCCGCTCTCAGGAGTGCTCTCGAAAAGAGTGAGGAAGAATAGTCTTATGACGGTTTTTTTCATTCCATTTTTACTTATTTTGTTTTATTGCTTTTTGGATTCGTAAGTGCTCTCGTGAACACGGACGCGTTTCCGGTTTCGTTCCGCAACCACCAGAAGCGAAGATCTTGTGGTATTGAGTGCTGCTGAGAAAGAGAGAAAGAGGATAAGTGCAATTTTAGGATACAGAAGATGAAAGAATAGACTATCGGAGATTATACAATTTTGTGAGATAATGCAGTTTTATAAATGTTTCTTAATAGAAAGTTACGGATATATTGTAAAAATATCAAATAATGTGATACGTTTAGTTTTTAACTTCTCAAGAGAGTTTGGTTGGAGAACCCTTAAATCTAATAACTAATACTGAAAGACAATAATTAATTGCTTACTTTAAAAGCACTTTTGTTTGTTTATTAAAAGCACTATTATTCAGTACTTTTTTTTAGTAATTCAAATAAATAATTAATTATTGTCTTTCAGTACTAAATTGACTATAATATTAAATTGACCAGTATTAGATTAAAGAAATTTTTAGTCATCGACTGATTTAGTGTGCTGACATTGGATAACATTTCCGATTTCTGAATGATAATTTTTATTCTGTTAATTTCTATTCTCATATCTTGGCTTCAAGAGCGATAGAGATTCCTCGTCTTATTTTTACCTTAACTTTCCCAATTAATCCTTCCATTCTCATTGAGGACGACATTTCGTAATTTAATGCAAATTAATTAAATTTTCTTATTTATTCGATGCTAATCTCGCTTCCACGTTTCCATGAAATGTATCATGTAGATTCTATTATTTTTTAGACTTAAGAATTTGCACGATCGACACGTTCTCGCATTAATCCTTGAGAGATCCAACCCTTGAAGCGCATAATAAACGCTTTCTTCCCATTTTGTCTCTCTTCGCTCTTCACTTCCGCCGAGCCACGTCTTTCTTTTGCGTTCTAGAAGAGGTCGCGGCTCCAACGCATACCGCGAGTGTCTATTTTCGGAGGTTTCTCGCAGGGAAGCGCGAGATTTGTCGTAGTTCTAAAATTACGCGGCCACTAATGCCAGGAGGAGGCGGGTGTTCTCTATCTTTCTCATTCTCTCTCTTTTACTCTCGTTCTCTCTCACTTTTCTCTTCTGTCTCTCTGGCGAACGAAATCGGCTGCTGGATCAGCGCAGCTGCTGCGAAATTGACATTGACGGCACAGCGCGATTTTCCCGGACGCGATTTTAACGCGACCGCTCGACGCATTTCGTGTTTCAGGGCGGCACGGAGTTACGGGATCCGCAAAGAGTTGAGAAGCTCGGCGAAACTTACCTGCCCTACTCGGTTTTCCTGGAGTACATAAACGGTTTAGGGACCTCCACATTTGCGTGAGTATTATCGACTGATGCGTGCATGCTGAGATGTGTGTGTTTGTGTCGAAAACTGCTTCGGCGCTTTTCTCTTCTATATCTTCATTTTGTACTTAAAACTGTGAGAAGGCAAATTATGTGCTCATATGTTGATTACTAAATTACTTTAAACTTTAAATTACTTTAAACTTTAAATTACTTTATTCATTTTCGTTTATTTTACTCTTTACTTTTCAAAGCGTGACTATTTTTAACTTAAGTTACGTCTCTTCTCCTTCGTAAATTTATTTGTTAATTCATTGAAGGAATCGCTTCTACGATCATCTTCCATAAAGAATTTCATTTTTTGCGTAAGATTTATTTATTCAAATCTAAGAAAATTATTCGATTTTTTTTTTAAATTATACATTCGATTTTCTGTTGTTTTGTTATTTTATTTTTTTATTGTTTGGTCTTATTATTTAATAATTTAGTTTGTCTTTGATTCCTGAAAATTAATTGGTTTTTGTAGAATAAACTCTTTTCTTTCAGACCGGGCACGTACAATCTTTTCAAGCATAACTGTAATTCCTTCACCGAGGAGGTTAGTAACTTCCTAGTGGGCAAGGGCATTCCCAAGTATATCCTTGATCTACCAGAAGAAATATTACAAACGTACGTCTTATTAATTGTCACGACTATTTAATCTTACATTTATTATAGAAAAATGTATAAGATACCTGTTTACTTTATTTCGAAGCGATGTTTTAATATGAGTTATATTTTCAGTCCTATCGGACAGGCTTTAATTCCGTTGGTAGAAACATTAAGCAGTAGCTCAAGTGCTGGATTCACGGTAGGCCAGAGATTCGTTGAGCCGAGAATTCAGAGGGAAACTTCACCAGAATATCAACTCCTAAATACAGCTATCGAAGAAGCAAGGTATTGGTAATTTTAACGCGTGATTATTTATTTAAATTTTTATAAATATTTTACTAAACTATCGAACATATTTGCAGATTGAATTCAATCGCGTTAGAGGAACGGAGGAACGTCATTAACGAGAAATTAGCGAAGAAAGATCGAAAGAAGAAAAAGAAGAAAAAGGAGAAAAAAGATAAGAGCAGCAAGGAGGCCACCAGCAGCGACAGCAATAGTACCGGACCGAGCAATTGCTGTGCAGATATGGCGGAGAACGAAAGTATGTAGAATTTTATATAAATTAAAAACAATTGTAATAATAAAAAATAATATAATAAAAACTCTTAAAATTTGGAAAATAATTTTTATATCTATTATTTTTTATATCTATTATTTAGGTGCAGTCGGCGAAACACTGCAGGCGGCCAATGGAGAAAACGCACCCGCAGAGATGCTGCCGTCCGAGCGAGTGATGCAGATGGAGGAGGATGAGAAGCGTGAGCAAGAAGAGAAAAAACGCCATCGAGATCCACCGATAGTTTTCAAAGACTTGGTGGATATACAAACGGAGTACGAAGGCTTGGTAAGCGCTCTCAAAGGGAAGTTGAACGATGAGGAACAAACTTGTTTGGATGAGCTACGGCAATATGTCTTGGAAGACGAGGGCTCCTGGGCTTTAGGCGACAACTTTCTGAACTTCGTTGGTGAGTTACTGAAATAACACAAGCTCTCTTTTTGAAAATGTGTCTGATTTATTCGATTAAATTTTAAACTTACTATAATATATATTAGAACATATAAAAATAGACTTTTAAGTAGAGATTTAAAAGCACAGAATACTGTGTTAAATTCAATTCAATTAAATGGATTTTAGGTCGAGTTCTTTACGATAAATCATTAGATAGTGATGTACGAGTAAAACTGTTGAACGTGCTGTCCGTTGCTGCACTGAAAGATGATGTAATTTTGTTGTTGCATCAAGACAGGCGAGAACACATCATCATGACATATGCCTTCGATATCGATCGGCATCCTCTGGAGGAGCAACTTCCACTTGCACAGTTTGTAAGTACAAACGAAATTATTACACATTAAAACTAAAATTATTTTTATATTTTGATTCATATATTTCCTGACTTTTTATAGTGGACATTAATGGAAATTTCTAATATTTACACTTACTTTTCTGAAAGCCTTAAACGTCAATAATTGTTTCAAACAGTTGGCAAATATGTTCGAGAATCTCAGCAGCTCGGAATGGTTACTCTACATATCGGAGTGGCAGCATCAGGATCAGAACGTCAGTAGCAATATCAGCAACATAAGGGTGACGACAAAGGTTGCAGTGCACTCATTACTCTCAAACTCGGAAGACCTGCAGATCCGCGGTGCAGCTATTATCCACAACCTTGCTTGCAAGGAGGTAAAAACTGTGGTCTGTATCCTTCCGTCCAATTAACATTCTCATCTTTCGCCGATTGCTTTCACTTTTATAACTTATTGCTACAAGCGTGTCGCGTATCGAAGGAGCATAATTATCTTATTAAAGATTATAATTCCACAGTTATTTAATTTTAAGCTACAGATATTTCTTTACATCATGTAGTAGACCTCTGTGTTATAAATTTTACTTATTTTATAAGTTTGAAACAGGACTGTAAAAGAAGAGATATGAATCAGAATTGTTTAATATTAAAGCGCGATCCTTCGATGCGCGATATCATTTGTTTCCGCTTTTCGGAATGCGTGCTTGCCGATATCACAAGAGAACAAGCTCGCACTGTGTCCTAGGAAAGAAGTGCTGCCTTTATTATATGCAATAGAAAAAAAAGAAATATTTGCTCTATAAATTACTGACAATGCTAAACAACGCGACCGTCGACATGGACATCTCGCCTGGTAATTTCGATTTCAAACGAGCAACGAAAAGAACATAAAAGAGAACATTCATATTTGCCATTAATAAAAAAGGACGGCTCAATTAAAGGATACACGACTCATTCGATGCTCGTTTGCATGCGCACACTGAAGCTCTCTAATCGCGCGGATAGCGCTGCGTGTGACGGATATCTTTCCAGAAATCGGATACTGTTTTTTCAGAAAATGAACAAAAGCAAAAATCTGCGGCGACTTTTACCGAAAGGCAGCATTTCTAAGGTACTTATCCAAATCCATGTTAGATCGAACCGTGCGCTGCGGTAAGTCGTCAATTCTTATCGGTATCTTGCGTGCAACTGAATACACACGTGTAATATGCAACGCGATGTGCGCGACAACTGTGATTACCATAATTTTTCAAGTGAGTGTTTGATAATATCTCGTACATGTAACGATTACTAAAATTACAGAAAATTACAGATAATTCACATAACAACGATGCTTCCAAGTTTAATTCTAAATCTGTAATTACACAAATACATTATATTTCGTAAAAAAATTGTATATAATTGTTTTTTGTGATTACTATGGAAAAATACATTAATAATAAAAAAATAAATTAATTTGATTAAACTAATTTTGAGATGGACGTAGAACGTCCATTTCAAATTTTTGCTGTAATTTATATAGCAACTTGACAATTGTTTACTTAACATTGCGTCGTGCAGCCATATTTTCAAATATTTTTTTTTTCATTCGCAAGAGAGTGAGATATGACGTGATTTCTAAATACCTTTACGTAATGTATGAATTGTAGGTGTTTGACGACGTCGCAGTGGAACTGACGATGGCATTACTGCAATACTTCAACGGCAGTCCCACGGAGGAGCAGCTATATACGTGCATGAAGTCACTGGCGCGTTTCACGCAGATCAGCGGCCAAGAAGTGCCGCAGCTCATACAGATGATTGGACCCGAGCCGAATAAATTCAGGGGTACTTCCCAAAGAATCGACGAGCAGATCGAACAAGTTAACCAGAAGCTGCGTTAAAGATCCGTCGATCGTTTGCGAAAATGTCGTATTCCATAAGTGCGAGATAAAACCGGACACGCTTCCACTATGTTTAAAATGGATTTTTACTTAGAGATTTTATCGAGTCACATTTATTATTATTATTATTATTATTATTATTATTATTATTATTATTATTATTATTTATGAAGATTATTGTTGTCATTTTAATATATTATTATATATGTATATTACTATTACTAGTAGGTGCCGCAGCGTTTCTTCAACTTTACTTTACACTTTTTTATTCGATATCTTTTTTTAGATAATTAAAGCTAGCGACACTTTACCGTTCTACGCAGATCGGTGAAAGATAGGAATAAAACGCATAAACGCGCGTGGCACGATGACGCGTCATCGAGATAGTCATGTGTGCGACTATCTCCCGATTAAAAAAAAATCTCTGTCCGTTAGAAAATTTCCGCACGACGAAATCACCAAATTAGCTGTATCGAATAGCATGTCGTAAACGTTTATGCACATCACACTCTACCGATTATACGTCCGTCGACGCTTTGCGAAGACGCAATAAAATTTTGGCAACAAAGATAACTTTCCCAGTAACATTGACTATTTTCCTCGTCGATTTCAAGAAATGCGCATTAGAAGATAAAAGAAGTAGGAGTATCTCATGGATTATACGTAGTATTAATCTATCACGTATCTTACATCATATTATAAAAGAATTAGAAATGGAACAAGTAGCAGTAAAGTCAGCTGTTATTAATCTCTTGTCAAGGTTTCTGGCACCTGTACATGGATCTTTATCAAAATGTCAACAATGTGCATGACACAAAACCGTTGAGAATTAGTAGCGTAATTAAAGGGATTTCCTCACTGGTATTTTTACAACGAGGTTTTAAAGACGTGGGGATGATAAGATCATGCAGCTGATGCAGGAGTATCAAGAGATCCGGCACTGGAATACGCTTGCGATCGCAAAGCCGCGAGAGCATAGTAGTCTCGCGTCTGATTAGTTTTTCGCTTGTATCTTGTCGACGCGACGTGAGTAAAATGCCCGACGGAGAGCCCCCGTCGTTTTCGATTTTGAGACAGAAGCCACGCTTCACAATGGCAAAGTATCTGCCGATACTCGGCTGGTTACCGCATTATACTCGGTTGAAGGCCGTGTCAGACCTGATAGCGGGCATCACTCTGGGTATGACTATGATCCCTCAGAGTATGGCCTACGCGGTACTGGCTGAACGGATTCCACAGGTATCACAGTCGTTTTTCTTGCTCCCTTTAAGATTATAAGTATAAATAAGCGAATATCTATTTAATGACGTAAACATAAATATAGTATTTTTTGTATATAGTATTTTTTTAATCTCAATTCGTAATCTCTGCACTTAAAAAAATGCACTCTTGAATTTTATTATCTTCTTAGATGTTAGATTGTTTTAAGACTTTTTTTATCTATATAATATTATTATATTTATTACTGATATGATGTGTCTCTCTATGTCTTTAAAAATATATCATATGACAAATAATACAAATACTTACAGTATGGTCTGTACTCTTGTTTTGTGGGTGGTTTTCTATACATTATCTTGGGAACTATCAAAGAGGTCTCGATTGGTCCGTCATCCTTGATGGCCCTTCTGACATTGCAGTACACGCGAAACATGCCACAGGATTTTGTAATACTTTTGTGTTTTCTAGCTGGATGCATAGAACTTTTAATGGGCGTACTAAATCTAGGCTTGTATTCTAGAACTATCTAATCGACTAAATTTCAATTATCATCGCTCACGTTTTTTTGTTATTATCATGTTCTATTGTATTGTTTATAAGTATATCAATATAAAATTGATCGACATGATTCTGCAGGATTTTTAGTGGACTTTATATCAGTTCCTGTCACATCGGGTTTTGTGTCAGCAGGAGCGTTTATTATAATTACCGCTCAGATGCAGGGCCTTCTGGGATTGAAATATAAGTCAGAAAATATTGCAGACAATCTGTACAAATTATTTAAGAATATTAATAAGATTCAGCTTGCCGATTCCGCACTTGGAATTTTCAGCATCCTATTTCTCCTGATCTTTAGAGTGAGTGCCGGAATTATAAATGAACAATTTATAACAATTTTAGAAATATCATGTAGATTTTATCTTTAGAAATTGAAAGATATTGACTGTCCTTGTATGAGAAACAAAAGAGATGCTTCCAGAAATGTAATAATAAAAAAAATACTTTGGTACTTCTCCATTGGTAGGAACGCTCTCATAGTGCTTATATCAGTCACAATAGCGTATCAATTCGAAGTGAATACAGGATCCATTCCATTTAGACTTTCAGGTATGGACCTTATTTGTAATTGTTATTAGTAGTCAATTCGTTGAATAAACGATAATAATGATTTTTTTTAATGATATAGCTAAAGTAAATAATAATCTATTCATAAGTTGAAATAAAAAATAATCTATTCAGTATAATTGTAAAATTATTGAAATTTGATCATTTATAACTACTTTTAAAGCCATTATTCTCTTATTAATTAATTTGACACTAAGCAATTCCATTTAAAAATATATTACGATCGTGGAGAATTACATGCATGTACACACAGGCATGTACAACATTTTTATCTTACAGGAAAAATCGAAGGTGGCCTCCCCAAAGTATCGTTACCGCCATTCTCATCGCAAGTAGGAAATCAGACTTACACTTTTTTTGACATGTGCGCTCACTATGGATTAGGATTAGGGATACTTCCTGTTATATCCGTCTTGGCAAACGTAGCGATAGCTAAAGCATTTGGTATCAATTTCCATAATTCTTTCCATAATTTCAATCTCGAGTCAGCAGATTGCTCCTGTATTATATAATTCATAATAAAATAAAATTAGACTTAATAAAATAATTTCATTATATTTAACAAAATCTGATTTCATTAATTGAAACTGAGCACCACTAACTAACAGTAGCACACACAACAATTATTAGTTACAATTTCCTACTCAGCAATATAACTATTATGTATTATATAACTGTTATATCTTATATTAAAGAATAATAAAAAAACTGTTATATCTTATATTACTAAGTGAAAATTATAACAAAATTATGTCAGTATTTGCTGTCAAATATATGTCTTCATTTCGAAAATTGAATATCCTCCTTATATTATTTGTGTGCAAAATGAAGAAGGATCAATTGTTCGGGTAAAATATTAGGCATATCTTGAATATTTTTTTCTTCTTGATCTTATAGCATTAGGCACTTCCATTAACGCAACGCAAGAAATGTTGGCTCTCGGCCTCTCCAACATAGTAGGCAGTTTTGTGTCATCACTTCCAACTACTGGTGCGTTTACCCGAAGTGCAGTTAGCAGTGCCAGCGGAGTGCAAACGCCTATGGCTGGTCTATATTCCGGTAACAAAAAATTAAATAACATTAATTTAAATTTTCAAACATCTTTATTTCTTTCGTACGCAAGAAATACGAGATGAAACTGAATAGGAACCTGCCAAAAATTACTATTAGGTTGAAACATACACTGAGAAAAAAATGCTGTTGATTCAATTAAAGTCTATCAACAGCATTTTTTTCTCAGTGTATGTTCGATTATATACTTAATGTATTAGGATTTATTAAATATTAGCATTTAACAACTAGCTTTGATTTGTAGCTAGGATAGCCAATTATTCCGAATTTTGCATTATTTCAATTAATCTCTTCATATAAAGACGTCCTAAAAGAATCGTTGGCAGGAAGCCATTTGTCTCGATTTATTATAAAGCAGAACAAGTCGTTATGCTATCATAATGTCAAAATAATTCTAAAATGATCATTAAAAATCATTTTTTAATCATTTCCGATTCATTTTAATGTCATTTTGACATTATCATTTTGACATGACTTGTTGTTCTACTGGGAACATAAATGAATATAAAATTTAAATAACACGGAGATAGTTATTTATTTCAAAAAATATCCATTTATCTACTTTTTTTTAAGCAACCATGTATTTTCTTTACACTAATGATTGATTTGACCTCAAATTCCTTTCATAAAAGTATTAAGACACGATTATAAAAAAATTAATAATTTATGAGATATTTGACGTTTTATATCAAAATGTGTCAGTATAAAATATAAAATAACTGTTGCGATTTTTCGACAACTTTAACCTTAATACTTTTATATGCGGAATAATCAGAGGATTCACTTTATATATAATTTCATTTAAAAAAATGGCGATATCATTTATATGACCTTAAAAAATTGATTTTTTTTTTAAATTAATTTTATCAATATTTGCATTCTTTAAGACTATATACAATTTTTATCTGAAACATTTTTCTATATTTTTCACATTTTGTGAAATATTCGACTTATTACGTTTGAAATGGACTATTTATATTTATGAAAAATGTTTTTCCATACACTGAAAAAGTCTCGAATTTTTTGATTGTGTTCCGATATTTTAAAGTTGATATTCCTGGCTGATCGAGAGTTGGTCATCCTATTTATAGCGTTTTTATTATTTTTATTTTAATTCACCTAGTTGAACTTTAATTATTATTTCTTATTAAAAATTATTATATTTTATCATTATAATTTATTATTATTACTCAACACACCTAATATTTTGTGCATAATTAGAGAAATTTACGATTCTAATCTTGGCGCGATAGTGTGTAATATGCAACATGACAGCGAGGTATTATATAATGATATGAGATACATGTGTGGCATAAATATAGAACAAAACAAAGATGTAACGAAAAAAATAATATATGACATTGCACTTTGCAGGTACTATGGTATTGCTGGCACTGAGCTTTTTAACATCATATTTTTATTACATTCCACGAGCGACATTAGCGGCTGTGCTGATATCCGCCGTGATATTCATGATCGATGTGAAAATCATAAAATTACTCTGGAAAGGAAGCAGTCAGTATTACGTTTTCACGTGTACACAGATTAGACGAGAAGATAAAGCAATGTACTTACATATAATATACTTGTTTTCTTGCAGAAATGGATGCAATCGCAGCGATAGGGACTTTTGTGATCTCCATTTTTATCGGCATTGAAATCGGACTTCTTCTTGGTGTCCTTTTCAACCTGATCCTTTTTATTCGACTATCCGCGAGATTGCCGCTTCAAATAGTCAATTGCAAAGTAAATAAAATTGCTATCATAAAATTTTGTCTTTTAGTATATTTTTATATATATTAGGTGTATAACTTTGCTTCCGCCGTTTTTTTTTCGAAATTCGAGGCTTTATTGTAAAAAACTGGTTATACATTTATGATTCAAAGTATTGTCCATCGCTAGCCACTACTTTCCCCCATCTTTCGGGTAGCGAATCCCGCGTCGAAAAAACTGGTCATCTTTTGAGGCTATCCACAAATATCGATAATAGGCTATCGATCCAATTTTTTACTTCTTCATAAGACCGGAAGTGCTGGTCAGTCAGGCCGTGTACCATTGATCGAAACAAGTGGTAGTCAGAGCGTCTGGAGAATACGGCGGGTGGGGTAGGACTTCCCATTTCAACGTTTCCAAGTATGTCTTAATCACTTTCGCAACATGGGGTCGAGCATTGTGATGCTGCAAAATCACTTTATCGTGTCTCGTTGTATTGCGGCCGTTTGTCTTTCAATGCTCAGCTCAAACGCATCAATTGCGTTCGATACCGATTGCCTGTGATTGTTTCAGTCGGTTTTAACAGTTCATAATACACTACGCCGAGCTGGTCCCATCAAATACAGAGCATGACCTTGGATGTCAAAATCACCGTTCTTGAAGCGTTGAAACCACTCACGACACGTTCTTTCACTAATAGCGACCTCACCATAAGTATTTGGGAGCATTCGATAAGCCTCAGGCGCAGATTTCTTCATATTGAAGCAAAAAATTAAAACCTCCCGCAAATGACGAGAATTTGGCTCGTCAACTGACATTTTCAATCGAGAATAACTTTATGATGCAGACACAAATCGATAATGTTTCTATGGGGTTATGTTGACAGATGCCCAAGCTTATTGTATGACATCTATGATCTATTTATTTCGACCACCACTTACCGTTAAAGCCATCTATAGGAAAACGGCGGAAGCAAAGTTGTACACCTAATAGATAAAAAAAGAATAAATGTTTCATTAGGTCGCAAATGTTTCGTTATTGAAAGAATGGATCGATATAATTTATACGGTAGTAATACATAATACAAAGATACAAAGATATTGTAGTATCAAACAATGACTTTTTTTAGTTAAAAATTTCAGATGGGTATTTTTTTCTGTTTATAAGAAATATATATACTCAAAATATCCTCCATCATTTTACACATTTGCCAGAATAATCTGATATTCATGTCATTATTTTAAATCTATTTGTGTCTATTATTTTAATAACAAAGCATTTGAGTCTAAAGTTCATAGGAATATTTGTTTTTTTTTCTTCTTTTTTCTAGAACCTATAATATAATATTATTTAATATTAAGTAATATTTTTTATATATATATATGTACTATAGGGTGCGTCACCAAAATCCAAACAAATTTCAATTTAAATTTCTCGGCATCCGAGAAAGCCTGATGCTTCTAAAATGCATTCCGAATTATCCTTATTGGTAAACAACAAGGACAAATAATGCATTATGCGTTTCATGCGAAATTCGAAACGCACCCTTAGTAAACAGTTATATTCTCAAAATGGCCGCGATGCTGAAACCAAGTACGGAGTATAATCGAAGAGCCGCAATTATCGAAGGCCTTCGCACTGGGCGCTCAGCAACGAAAATAATTCGGTTCTTTGGATACCCGAGATCAATTGTCAATCCAGAATGCCAGCGAGGAAGAATCACTCGAAAGAACATACTGCGAGGACCCTCACAGTCGTTGAAAGGAGCGCACTCAAGCGCTGATTTTGGATGACCCAGGACAATCGTTGCGAAAATTAGCATCGATTGTTGATATAATAAGCGAGCCAACAAATGCATCGAATTGCCGAGGAGGACCTTCGATACAAATCGTATACATTTACGATTATTAATCGTATACATTTTTATTAAAGATACGACAGATGCTCTCTGAGACTGCCAGGACAAACCGAGTTGCTCGCCTCGGCTCATTCTGGCCTCTCAACAGCCCAGATTTAAATCCCTTGGACTACTACATATGGAGCGTAGTTGAAAAGGTTACAAACAAGTCTCGACATCCCAATGTGACGTCATTAAAGATCGCTGCTACTGAGGCAGCATTCGTCGGCATGGACAGCGCTACATTATAACATGCGTGCGAACGCTTCAGACTGAGAATAGAGACCGTCATTCAAGCTAATGGAGGATATATTGAATAATTGTGCTCTACAGGGATTCCCCTCCCCCCCTCTCCCCCAAGTACCAAGTGTAAAAGGATTTTTTGTAATATTTAAATTTTCATTAAAAACATTTTGTTACAAAGAAATTGTTCGGATTTGTTCGGATTTTAGTAACGTACCCTGTATATTATATATACATATATATCAATTATGTGTGTACATGAATGAGAATATTAAAATTATTTCTGTTTTAGACTCGTCTGGGAAATAGATATATGATGCTAAAACCTGAAAATTGTCTCTATTATCCCGCAGTAACTTCCTTCTGTGAGAAAGTCATGAGTTTAGCTAGAAACGACGTTCCATTGATCATGAATTGCGAATTATTCAATAGTCTCGATTACACTTCAATCAAGGTATCAGATAACATTCGCCAAATAAAATCAATGAATGATTTATTTTTATTGATCTATAAATGATATTGCTATTCGAACTGTATGTAATTTTCTACGACAGGGTATTGAAATGTTATCGAAAAAATTGAACAGCGAAAGAAATCAATTCTGGCTATTGCATCTTAATTCCAACGTCGTGAAAAGTTTCGACATTCTCACTGACAACAAATACATTCGTTTGATCGAAAAAGAAGAGAGCATCGCAGATGTTCTTCACAGTATGTATTATTATTATTATTATACGTATATATGAAATTTATTGTTTAATATTGAGATAATTAAGAGCTATAGTGATAATTATCACGAAATGATAATTGGAATGTAATCTAATGATAAATGTTTTTTTCAGATGATGCTTTATCTAGTAAAAATTTTGAAGATCGGATCAATATTACTGTGAAACAAGCAACGAAAAATCTGATTCGCGAAGATCTTTTGTATTCGAATTCACAACAAAATGATTCCGAATCCAATACCGAAGAATTGGCCTTAATGTCACCATCCGAATGTAAAATACAACAATAACCAAACAACTCTATCTTTAATATTAGATGTGAGAAAAAGTGACGTTTTTCCCGTTAGATGTAACGGGAAAAACGCCACAAACTTTTTCCCACTTATTTATAGCCTGTTGATTCTGTAATTTAAAAAAAGCCGCTTTTTTCAAAAATTGTAGAAAGAAAACTAAAATTATTTTCTTTTCGGAAAGAAGTAAATATGGCAAATCTTACGAACACATAAATGTTTCCAATTTTTCTATCTTTGGGAAAGGAACCAAGAAAATCAGTAGAAAAATGGGAAAAAACGATTTTTTCCGAAATTTTGAAACTACAGTTTTTAGTATTGATTCTAAATATAAAATGCATACTGAACACTGCGTTCCGTAAAGCGCATGATATGCATGATTTGTCAGGGTTTGTTTAACGTTTCATAAACAATAAGGATAATACATTATGTGCAATATATACACTTTACGGAACTAAGGAAGAATTTGAATCAAAATTAAATTTTCAAGGCATTTAGATTCTATACACTATCTGTAAAGATAAAAATTTATTAGAACGGATTTTATCGAATATACGCATGACAACGACTTCGTTCGTCTTTTCGCAACAGTAATAGAATATGCATTTAAAGAGAAAAGATTTCTCTCTATATCAAAGAAATATAGCATGATAATGTTACGTTCATTAATTAAAAGTTGCTGTTTGCAGCGCAAACCAAACGCTTTACTAGCGGCTCACTGTGAGATTCATTCAAAGCAAGATGAGCGTAACATTAACGCCGAAACCATCAAATTGACTTCCAACCTACTAGAAAATTCACTATTATTATTTCACATTACATTATGAAGCACAAGGATATAATCATAACCGTCACGAATCTTCTAGAAGGTCGGAGTAGCAAAAGCGAGCGCTGCACAGATCCACCCGCCACATTCAATAGAAGTTTTTTGTGAAACACGAACGCGAATTCTTTCCGATACCAACACTCAGTTTTGCGATGGAAGTTCTTCGCTCACGCTCTAATTAACTTTTTCAATCGTTGCATCGCCATTGTTATCGCAAATTACATCGCATCGAGATAGAGCATAAGTCTAACATATAATTGAGTGCTAGATCACGACCGTGCACTTTGTACGTTAATTGGTAAGCTCAAATACATGAAAATAAATCTGTCTTTCTTCATCCTCATTCTCTTCCTCATAATCTCCTATCAAGCATTTCTGATTGATACCCTGATGAAAATGTAAAGCTTATCGAAATGTCAAAGAAGTGTGAACAAAGAATTTTAATGCTTCTTGAACACTTCATTGACTTTCCATTGACTCTTAGTTTGAATATTCATACACTCTCCAAATGCTCCGTAAAGTGTGCCCGAAACACATCTATCACATTGCCCGCACGTTTAAAATTTTTTTTTCATTAACGTTTCTCATACGTTTCTCAACACTCTGCAAAGAATGGAGCGTACTGACACTTTCTAAACGTTCGACAAAAAGTACGGAACATTCAAATATATACTGTGAGCGGAAAAGGTTGTTACAAATAATAGCTAAATAATTGAAAATGTTTTTTTGTAAGAATGCATAATTTATGTTTCAACAACCTTTAATGATTAAAGCCATCTGATATTTTTAATTTTAGAAATTAATTCCTTTATCTGTTTGTATTATTTTCAGCACGTCGTTTGTATTTATTAGTACACTGAAAAAAAGGATTGATTGCTGCAGCAAAATTAGATGGTAAAATATAGCATAATATTTTTAATTGGTTGCAACAGCCAATTTTTTATTTCATTCATTCAACTTATTCATATGTGGGACAAACAAGTAGAATTTTAAAAGCACTCATTATTAAAGAAATCACACAGAAACTTCAATTGGAACATGATAATATTCAATTATTACTTTACATAGATGAATTCTTACATGGTTTTGATTGAGAGAATATAATATTTTAGATAAAGAAGAATTTTTACATAAAAGATTGACGTCTGAAATGATTTTCATAAATCAAAAATAAATAAAAAACTTCTGAGAGTCGGCGCAAATTATTATTGCAAATAAGAATTTATTATTAGTTACAAATTATTAGTTACAAATTGAAATACGTTTCAACCCACGTTTACGGTCCTCTTCAGTGACAAGATGTTGTAAAAGATATAATGAGATTTCTACATTACGTGGACAACGTTATTAGCTGTTCGATCGAAGCAGTCATATGCAGACTGCAAGGATTTCTTTTTTGTTACTTTTAATCGCATCCATCAAGGTTTTTCACATAGGATGTTCATTAAATTTTCTGATTTAATGAAGATCATATTATAATCATAACTTGCGAACATATAATATCGCTAAACACAATCTTCATTAAATCAGGAAATAATAAATCTTTAATAAATCTTGATAGATACGATTAAAAGTGATGGAAAAGTAATTCTTGTAGTCTGCATATAATTGCTTCGACGCTAACATTGTTGTATAAAAATAAATGGCTTGAACATTGTTCACGTCAATAGAAATCTCATTATATGTTTTACAACGTTTTATCACTGAAGAGGATCCTAACGTGAGTCGAAACGTATTTCAATTTGTAACTGATAGTAATAAATTCTTATTCGTAACAAATAACCTACGTCGGCTCTCAAAGGCTTTTATTTATTTTTTATTTATCAGTCTATTAAAGCCTACACAATTTTGAAATTTCATAAAGAAACAAATAAATGGCTTGAACGTTCATATTATTAAAAATGATATGAAACCTTTTAACTCTCCTTATCATCTTTGTCAATATTCATATATACTTTAGTTTTTGATTGCGTCTGTCACATAAGAGCGAAAGATAGAACTGACATATTTACCGAGTGACTGTTTTTACGTTTATCATGTAAGTCTAATAATTTATTGATTATTTATTATATACATTTGTTTAATTCAGTTAAAATAACTTTTTTTAATTAACTTAGTAATTATAGTGAAAATACGCTTGGACATTACAATTTTATCAGCACGTCTATGTCTACGTTCTTTCATAAAACGCACTGAAAGAAAAGATTGGCTGCTGCAATCAAATTTAAGAATGTTATATCATATTTTACTATCTAATTTGCTGCAGCAATCTTTTCTTTCAGTATACGATACAACCAATGAAGATTTACTTAAAAAGTAACTAAACTGTTCGTTACTTTTTTAAAATTAGTTTTAAAAATGTACTTTTGCAATATTTTTTGTTTAAATGTTGATAAAAGCAATATGTAACCACACTTATATAACTATATTTTCTAATTTTTCCTTAAGAATATAGTTTCATAATTTCTGAAATCTGTAAAATATGCGGCAAACTGAGATATCTGTCCGACACATCATATGGAAGTGTAAAATAATTAACAAAAAATAAACAAGAAGGGCTACAGCTGAAACAATAACTTTAATTATCAAAAAATAATGATCAAAATAAACATTACAGACGTTTTGACATTGATTGGGTCATTATGTTAAAAATTGAAATAAAAATAAGCATAGATTATTATAATAAGAACAATATAAAATTTAAAAAAATGAAAAAATACATCAAATTACTGTATCAAATTCGAAAATCCATATATTTTATGATTCATGATAGACAACGGTGGTGCCTATCTGATTATATTACAGATGTCGTCCACAATATTAATGAGAGTCAACTGGATAGATTTCGATCTTTGTATAAATAAGTTCTTAATACATAAAGTCCAAATACAAAATAAAATCCAAAAGAGTTAAACGATAAAAATGTAGTCAATATTTAACAATCAAATGAAATAAGACGAAGCAATATTGCGACATGTATCAAGAGTTGTAACATAAAAATGACTAATCATTGCGGACGACGTAAATTTCTGTCATATAATCAGATAGGCACATTGAGAAAAATATAGTCAATTTTAATAAATATTTAGTTCAATACTGCCAAACTAAACATTTACAGTAAATAAATACTTACAGTAAATAAATATTTGTTCACTAAAAAAAAGATTATTAAATCAAATTAACATTACTTGTATCAAATAAATATATCTTTATATTTAATAAATATTTAATTAGCAGTATTCAACTAAATATTTATTAAAATTGACTACATTTTTTTTCAGTGCATAACCGTTGTCAATTATGAATCACAAAATACATGCACTTTCGAATTTGATACAGTAATTTGATGCATTTTTTATTTTTTTATTTTTTTTTATTTTATTATGATAATGTACGCATAATCATCACTATTTTTATTTCAATTAATAGATAATTATTGTTTTAGCTCATAATCTTTCTTGTTTATTATTGTTAATTTTATTGTATTGAGCCATATTATTATTTATAGATTTGTAAAATAATTCTTGAAATAATGATATATTTCTCAAAAATTGCATTAAAAGAAAAGATTGGCTAAATGTGGCATAGCATTTTTAATTAGTTGTAGCAGCCAATTTTTGTTTCTGTTAACTTATTGAATCCTATACTGACATTGCGGATATGGCTGATGCCAAAATAGACTCATCAAAAATTGATTACTGCAGCCAATTAAAAATGATATGCCAAATTTTACAATCTAATTTGCTGCAGCAGTCAATCGTTTCTTTCAGTGTAGACAGCATAGATCGCAAGCTGGTTGCGTCCGCCAATCTGATGCATCAATTTTTAAATGGCACGACGCTACGATATGCTTGCGATGTTACTCAATCAGCATACAATATTTGAAAAACATTTTTTAAATGTTTATTTAATATATTTATATTAAATAAATATTTATACTAAAAAACATTTTTTGTATATTTTTTAAATATTGTATATGTGCTGGTTAGATAAATACAATCAAATTAGGCTTAACGATAACTGTAATGAGTTACTTCTAAAAATTAATAATTATTAATGATAATTTATTCCTTTTTTGATTCGATAACGAGTAACTGTAATTTTTAAAAAATAACTTTCCATGTCCTGCCTAAAACTCATTTTACAATTGCAAAAGCATAATATATATTTGTAAATGGTTGTAGTTGTAAAAAATAATCAATTCTTAAAGAGTCCTCTACATAGAAGTCGTAGATAGTCGTAGTCTTAAATCGTAAGAAACCAATCAATCAAATATAAAGAGAATACTCGATTAGAATTGATCAATTTCCTACGATTTAAGATTTCACGCCGTCTATGATTTCTATGTAGAGGATCTTTTACAATTACAGCATGTCACTTACAGGTGCCTACGAGATGTTATCAAAGATGGCCGGCCCTGAGCAAATTTTCGTGACTATACGGAACCCGAGAATAATTGAAGAACAATGACATTATCGACAATTGATATAAATTTTCAATTAAATTTGCGATTGACATAAATATTTGAATAATACATTATTAAATTCATAATTTTTATTATACAAATGCTGCATAAATAAGTATGTACTTGTAATATCTTATTTTGTTGCAAAATTATAATTTTTTTCTCTAATACAATTATCATTGATAATCATATCATTGATAATTAACTCGGACGATAACATTATAATCATAATTTAATTAAAAAATTGAACTTTTAAGTTTTAAACTTTTATATATATATATATTAGGTG